TTTGATATACCTGGTTGCAGTGAACGAACAAACTTTAAATATTGAGCCAGTATTGTTGAGTATATTGCCATTCCGGTAATCCCTTTGCTATATAGGCCTGATAGGTTTTCCACAGGCACAGAACTTAAGAGAGACGTATTATAAGGAACTAACTACAATTCAATAATTTCAATTACGACATAACTATATGCCTTTTAATAGATTCTCAAGTTTTTCACTTTTGATACGACAATCTTGGGTATTGCCGACTATTGCTTTGCAATTATATCAACATTCAATAATATATAAAAATTTCTGTCCATTCTATTCCGTGTATATTACAGGCTTGGTCAGAAATTTACAGTGTATTACGAGTAAGGTGCACTTACCGAGCGGATAGTCAATTATCTATCATCAGAAAGCGACGTAAAGCCAAGCAGATACCAGCTGTTTTACTGTACAGATCACCAAGAAGTGGGATAAGTTGACGACGATCAAATTACTTCTCAAACATTAACTTTAGAATAAAAGTCACGAATTTCGAAAAAGTTAAAAGATGAATGAAAATATGCTCTTGCTTTTATTCATGCTTTGGAGCACGACCAATTTCTAAAGCTCGGTGGGAGAGATTTTAATTTTTATTCAAATACGTTCAGCTTCTTAGCGTATGGAATTTTGCTTTTTTAAGCAGCGGAATTTCCAAAATGTCCGTGTTATGAGGTGACTGTATATAAAAAGGCCACATAATTTGATTAAGTTGTCATATATAGAAAAATTACAATTCATGCACAAGGAGACGGAATCTTTACAATAGTAAGACTAAATTAAGATAGTGTTTTTATAATGTTCAGTTCCTCTTTCATCTTCTTCGATGGCGTCTGTCTTGTTCTGCCGTTTGGACTTCAGCTTTGAACTTCCTTGCTTATTTAGCTTCCATTCTGTGTCCACTCTGCATTTAATCCACTCTGTGTCACTAAAGTTGAACTACTGACTAAGGTCCATAGATATCTTATATACATGCACTAGATAGCGCATCTCTCAGTAGTAAAATTGAAGCCAAGAATATTGCAGCGGTTACCCCCATTTGAATAGATGGCGGCCATGTTGGTCGTTCCCACTTGCTAATAAACGCTTAAAAACAACAATAACTTTCATTATTTGAAGAGTTTAAAAACGTATTTGGAATAGGGTTAGCTTAATGTTTAAGTTTCCTGTTTAAGAAATAGAAAACATACGAATCTTCTCATTTCATGGGAACGACCTGAGACTGCAATCACGGCTTCAATTTTTGAATCGCAGAATAATTAGATGCACTTTCTAGTGTTTATAAGATATCTATGCTAAGGTCGAGCTGGGTACCTCAAACTCCAAAGCTATAATAAATTATTAATTTCTTATAATATTCTGCAATATTCTGCTTCTTGCCACGAAAATATTCTGTTGTAACATAAGTAAGAACCTCTCAGGAGTTCTGGTTTTAAGATTATAGATGTAGTATTATTTATAGCCACAGGGTCGTCGCTACTCTCTAGAGGGGGTGTGGAGGGAAGGTGGAACATCCCTCCCAATCGTCAAGCAGTCGGCAAATTAATTCATAAATCCAAGTCGGTAAATTGTTTTCGTAGTCTGCGAATCATGAATTGGAGAATTGGATAGGAAGGGAAAAAGCTAAAATATACGAGTGACAGTAATTAAAAACTAATAATTGTAGCAAAAATTTGCAGAAATTTACGAAAACTTTAAGGAAAATGAAAGAATAACGGTACATTAACCCAACCAAAAGAAAATCAAAATGTTATGTCCGGAATTTTTTTTTGCTCAGTCGCCTACGCCCTTCACCTCAATGCTAAGAAATATTAATTTGTGGTTGAAAAGCCTAGCGACGCCCCTGCATACCACATGCATGATGGGAATGACGCACCATTATTTTTTTCAATCGTCATTTCAGGGACTGAATACGAGACAGATACATATAACCATAAAGTTATATCGAAATTCTACTTAAGAAATAGAAAACATCTCTGAGGTTTAATAATATCGGCTACGCCTCGTGTTTTACACGTTTCTCTCGTATTCTCCCAACATTCCCCGCGTGCATCATCACACAATAAACGCACGCCAATCGTTTTCTATTTCTTAAATGCATAAAATTTACTTATGTCAAGCTTTTATGCACTTGTGGGTTCAGAAGGGGACTGAGGCATTCAAATTCTAACAATATGTTACTTGAATAGTTTTGGGGTTTTTGGGACACCTTGTGTTCAGTACTAGTGTAGTCATTTCGTCACATGCACATATATATGGTCTCGTTTGCACATATTAGTGTATGTCATTGCCAATCAGAAGTCAGATCAGAGTTTCACTCTAGTGCTCAGGAGACAAAGAAATAGAAATACGCTACTCTTTGGTACGATACGGTTGAAAGTGGAAAACGGCCTCAAAGTCTAGTTCACCCAATGAACCATTGAAACCATGCATCAGTTGTGTTGGTATCAATATGTTTGTTGATCCTTACTTTAAAACAGTCACAACTTTGGTTCTATGGTTCTACTAGACCAAGTTAAACAATCTTATTAATCTCTTAAGCCTGGCGCACACGATGCGATTTTAGTCGGCCGATAAAAATCGTTTGACTAAAACTAACAAAATCGTTGTGTGTGTGGTGTCATTTTTAACCGATTTTTGTTGCTCGATTTTAATCGGACAACATCAAAACGTTTTGATATTACACGACTTTTATCGGTGTAATTTTAAGTATAACCAATCAGATTTCATGCTGTGATCACGTGCTTGTATTTATTTGGCAACATGGCGGCTACAGTTCAGGGAGCGTATTTTTTTCGTAATCGTGTGCGGTGTATACCGATGTATATCGGTATGTCGAACGATATTTATCGGCCGACTAAAATCGCATCGTGTGCGCCAGGCTTTATGACCTGTTCATATGGGGGAAACGTTCTCCCGATTAGCGAGAAAATACTTAGACTGGCCAAATAATTTAATTCTGTTCATATGGAGAAACGTTATCCTACTTACCGGGTAAAATTTCCGGCTGTGACATAGCACTGATGTGACGCACAAGGCGGGAAAAGTGAAAAAAATTTAAAATACATTTTAAAAACCAAAAAGTTGACACGACGAAACTTTTCCTGCTAAGGGACCGGTCATTAATAATGGGAGGTGGTTTCGCCGAATGCAATTTCGAAAAAGAAACAAACACGACATGAACAAACTTGCACATGTCTGAAGAGCAGAGAACAGTGAGTATAGAAGAGGGGGGGGTTGTAGAATTTCATGTTGATTGGAGGAGCAAAACGTCCTAATATTTTTGCGATTTCATTATCATAACCATGGAAAGTTCTTTTCAATTGTAGAGTGAAACGATACGCTGATTTTTGTTATGTGCACTACATTATTTGTTTGGCATCAACATGAAATAGCTTTGCTATATCGAAATCGTCGAGGAAATCTTTTATTTCCTTTAATTGAAAAACGCTAATTGAAGAATTGCTAGAACCAAATATAGATACTGGAACTTTCCGTGTTTATCATGTTGGGACGTGTTGCACCTTCCACGACTTGTCAAGGCGCAAATTTTGAGAGCTCCCTTGTAAGCGTTTCAGTTTTACATCACAGTCGAAGAGGGTGTGTGAACTGTAGAATTGAAAAATTTGCCAGTGCTTTTTTCTATTAAATTGAACGAGAAACCTGGCCATTAGTTTTTACTAAAATTGTAATCATGAAAAAATTCACACGTTTCTACAACATCGGGGGATGATGCCAAGGGTGATCTGGCAAAATGCATAAAATTTGACATTGAAAAATTGCGTATTAAATTGTTAAACTGAAAATTCCGTATTCCAAGTCACATTTAAAATAAATTCCTCATTCCGTCGGGGAATTAACAAGAATTTCCCATTCCAAAATTCAGCCTCGCCTCTCCAATATTTAAACAGTTTCGTTCTCGCTCTTTTAAGCTTTGTTCATACGTGACAAGCAAAAGCTGTGGTATTGGAAATAAAGAGTTACAGCTGAATTTCGATGATGGGATTGGACGGTAGTTTTTTACTATAAATATATATTACGTTGCTTCTTAGAATGACCCAAATATTACACATACCTAATATTATATTTGGGGTTAGTGGAATTATAATAAAATAAACTTTGACAGTTCGATCACTCTTGATTGTATACGGTAGCTACCTGCTTGACCGGCGTAGGGCTTTATCCATGCATCATTGCTAAGTACCGCTGCATTATAAGTAGCGGCTGACAGTTGTAGTTAGCGGAGTGTCCACAATGTTGAGATTTTTGCAAGTAGTTCATGTTGAAAAGACAAAATTTGTCTCGTGCTGCTTGGTTAGCAATACGCGAGATTTTGCAAAACACTTCCTGTTAATTTTCTAACTTATTTACAGGATTATTTTTTTCAAAACTCTTACTATGAAAATAGCATGGATCCAGTTAGAAATATATAGTATGAAAATACAATTTCCATACTAATTGCCAGCGCTTTAAAATTGATACAGTATGAAAATTGTGTGGATAGACTATGGATTTAATGCATGATACAAATTTAATTTCCACAGCTAGATTTCACAACATTATTGACGTAATTCTTAGGAAAAGCAAAAAAAATTGCCGTAAAGCAAATACGGGTGATAGAACAAAGCATAGTATTGTCCAAAGATGGATAGTTCGGCAAAGGAAGAGAGAAACAAACGTATACTATTTGAGGATAAGTGATATTCAACATACCTTATTTGACCTTATTTCCACAACTTCTACCACTGTAACCCAGCTGACAGAAGCAAAGGTATTGCCACCGAGAGAAAACAAAGAACAATACCATTAACTACAGTTAAAAGAATGAAAAAAATTCATTTATCGGTGTTAGCCTAGATTCCTTGTTTGTTGCGTATACGTATTGTGTTTTCACTCAATCAAGCAAATATGCAGCTATCTTTAGACAATTGATCCATTTACACATGCAAAACTAAGCCAAATAAGTGCTATTATATAGGAACTTATTGCCACAGCGATAAGAGTTTTTATTGCTTCCCGGAATAATTTATGGTTGAAATTAATTATGCGAAATAAGTAATTTGCGCGCGCAAGTTAATTTAGGTATAGTCACGTGACTGGAAATTTCGGTATTTATCAGTGGTGAAGCGGGCTATCTGTCCTTTCCTATTCCACGAGGGCTGCAGTTCACATCAAGAAATTGGATAGAAGAGAATTATCTTCTGTATCTGGTAAATATCTCTTACTTATGCATAATAATTAATAATATATTGGATACCAAGGACATTTCCATTTTGCTTGCGACATATGGATATGTATGGGACTTTACTTACAAACCAGACTGCGGTGTTGGCCATTTCGGGTTCGCAAAAGTTAGAGACTCGAAGTGCGTGTGCGCAAAGCAGTTCCCAAGTGTGCATCAAGATGCAGTCAAGGGCGCAAATGTAGCAAGATAATGTTAAAAACAACGAAAATTAGAGATTACAGGGCAGATTAAATGGCGAAAATTGTTATAAAGTGCTAAATTTCTGCCTAAAAAATATCGAGTGCGACGTTGACTCACTCTGCAGTCTGGTTTACAATGACTCACATATTCATGACTTTCAGTCGCAGTCTACAGGGGTAACTACAGTACACTCTAAATTGAATAAATGTGAACTTTAGGAATTTATTAGCCAGCCCCTAGTCTTCCGATTTATAAAATGGGAGCTAAATTTTTGGGAGATATCTACCCTCAGTGTGTAATAGATAGTTTTGCTCACACAGCTACTCGTGGTCGTGATTCTACAAGCGTAGAAGATCAATACTGGGCTCCTTGCGATTTTGGGGCGGCGGCGGGACGGCGACGGCCACAACACACTCCTTCAAATAAATGGTAGTAAAAATAATTCGACGCGTATTATCAGTCGTATGCATTTTATACAGTCTTCAGAGGCTCAGCGCAGAACACTCCGTTACGGGTAACCTTAACTATTTATACAGAATACCTATATAAAGTGATAATTATTAACAACACGACTTAACAGAGAGACTAGACAAGGGACGACATGAATGACATTTAACATGGGTTTTATGACTGGGTAGAGTTCGGCTGAACCTGGTTTGAAATTGCACTTGTTGCGGTTTGAAATGCAGCCGTTGCATCAAGACGTAAAATCTTTGATTTGGCGTAGTAATTACAGAGCGAAGACAATGTCTAAATTATTCACATATTGTGATTATTCCATTCTCTCAATGATTTATTGTATTGGAGGCTGTTGCTGTCGCGTTGCCGTCCTGGGTCGTAGGGTCTCTAATGCGAAAGCTCAGCGTCTTTGACTTGTGCAAGCTCTGCGTTTAGTATAAACGTACTATATATGTAGCATATACCTTGCGCTGTTGCGTGACTAAAATTTTCCGTGGCTTTTCAAAGCGAAATAATCCCACTTGATAATGACATTAACAGGATATTAAATCCCTACAGCGTCAATTATCGATTAATTATAGCCTACTGCTGACACATTATGTCCAGTCCTCGCGATTGCATATATTTTACAGATGTTAATTTCTTTACTATACCTTATGAGGCAGATTATAATCTGGGGGCATGCATGTCTGTGCTCTTCACTATATTTGTATGATATAGTGGGTATTTGCGCTAATTTTATGTTAGGGGTCAGAATTGTATACGTATATGTTACCATCATTATGTTTGTACATATGTTATCGTGAATATGCTAACAATAGCATTTGCGGTGTTGATGCTGCTAACTATAGCATATTGTGCTATTGCTATTCGGGTTTATTAGCTTATTAGCAATATTCCCGTTGTTACCGTTTCACGTTATTGAAGTCATTTCATGTTTTATGGGCTATAGAGCAACTTGGCTGTTTTCAGATGCCCACGTTGAGATTTCAACTTTGCCCTTGGGTTTTTTGCTACACAGAACTTTTTCATGAATTTGTGGCATTTATATATACGATTGTTATAACTTTGTATTGTTTTGTGTATATACGTGTCAAAGTTGTGTTTTAAACATGTGTACGTGTGCGTATATATATTCTGCCCTTGTTCTTGTGTCAAATACCCACAGTTTAAATCAATATATTATGGGCTGCTTCCTCGGGTAGCAGAGCACAGACTACGTCATCAGTGTCAGTTTAATTACCGACAGCTTTACCAAACGTGCATGTTTCAACAATTTTCCAATTTAAACACCATTTGCTATGCCATAGTCCGCATTGCCCACACTTAGTTATACAAGTCCACAGTCCACACTGTCCACACTTAGTTAGAAAAGTCCACAGTCCACACAGTCCACACTTAGATAGAAGAGTCCACAGTCCACACTGTCCACACTTAGTTATAAAAGTCCACAGTCCACACTGTCCACACTTAGATAGAAGAGTCCACAGTCCACACTGTCCACACTTAGTTAGAAAAGTCCACAGTCCACACTGTCCACACTTAGTTAAAACAGTCCACACTGTCCACACTTAGTTAGAAAAGTCCACACAGTCCACACTGTCCACACTTAGTTAGAAAAGTCCACAGTCCACACTGTCAAACAGTACAACAGTCCACACTGTCCACACTTAGTTAAAACAGTCCACACTATCCACACTTAGTTAGAAAAGTCCACAGTCCACACTGTCCACACTTAGATAGAAAAGTCCACTGTCCACACTTAGTTAGAAAAGTCCACACAGTCCACACTGTCCACACTTAGATAGAACAGTCCACACCGTCCACAGTTAGTTTGAAAAGTCCACAGTCCACACTGTCCACACTTAGATGGAAGAGTCCACAGTCCACACTGTCCACACTTAGTTAGAAAAGTCCACTGTCCACACTTAGTTAGAAAAGTCCACACAGTCCACACTGTCCACACTTAGATAGAACAGTCCACACCGTCCACAGTTAGTTTGAAAAGTCCACAGTCCACACTGTCCACACTTAGATAGAACAGTCCACAGTCCACACCGTCCACAGTTAGTTTGAAAAGTCCACAGTCCACACTGTCCACACTTAGATAGAACAGTCCACAGTCCACACCGTCCACAGTTAGTTTGAAAAGTCCACACTGTCCACACTTAGTTAGAAAAGTCCACACTGTCCACACTTAGTTAGAAAAGCCCACAGTCCACACTGTCCACACTTAGATAGAACAGTCCACAGTCCACACTGTCCACAGTTAGTTTGAAAAGTCCACAGTCCACACTGTCCACACGTAGTTAGAAGAGTCCACAGTCCACACTGTCCACACTTAGTTAGAAAAGTCCACAGTCCACACTGTCCACACTTAGTTAAAACAGTCCACACTGTCCACACTGTCCACACTTAGTTAGAAAAGTCGACACAGTCCACACTGTCCACACTTAGATAGAACAGTCCACAGTCCACACGGTCCACAGTTAGTTTGAAAAGTCCACAGTCCACACTGTCCACACTTAGTTAGAAAAGTCCACAGTCCACACTGTCCACACTTAGATGGAAGAGTCCACAGTCAACACTGTCCACACTTAGTTAGAAAAGTCCACAGTCGACACTGTCCACACTTAGTTATAAAAGTCCACACAGTCCACACTGTCCACACTTAGTTAGAAAAGTCCACACAGTCCACACTGTCCACACTTAGAACAGTCCACACTGTCCACAGTTAGTTTTGAAAAGTCCACAGTCCACACTGTCCACACTTAGATAGAACAGTCCACAGTCCACCCTGTCCACACTTAGTTAAAACAGTCCACACTGTCCACACTTAGTTAGAAATGTCCACACAGTCCACACTTACTTAGAAAAGTCCACACTGTCCACACTTAGTTAGAAAAGTTTCACAGACCACACTGTCCCACACTTTGTTAAAAAAGTCCACGCTGTCCACACTTGTATATGTATATATATGTATATATGTATATATATATATATATATATATATATATATATATATGTATATATATATATGTATATATATATATATATATATATATATATATATATATATATATATATATATATATATATACATACAGGGTGTATCAAAAAAAGCGCAATCCTCGACTGAAATGTAAATTGCTAAACAAATAATAGACGAAAACGTTAAAGTTTACATTCATTTTAAAGCGTAGCCATTCCGCTTTCTAACAGTGGGTTGTTTCTTAAATTTGACTCATTGGTTCGCGGCTAATAATACTTTACGTTATTGCGATTGGAGATTAAAAAAATTGAGATGGAATAACTAACGTTCTCATGAAAATAACTGATTTTTTTCATTAAAACAAAGAAATGTTGCATTTTATTAAATGGATTGTAACAATAAGTATAATTACGGCTTTTCTTCTACTATTTTTAACTCAGTTTGAAACTTCAAATGCGATATAATTTTGGCTTGGACCATCTAAGCTGACTGACATCATCTTGCTATAATTTCTGTTTACATTACATCGCAATTCGATGACACTCTGGCTCAGACACTAGAATGTTTTGACGATTTTTAGCATTCGTTTAGGATTTTTAAACAACCTGGTCTCTTTTAAAATACTTTTAATTTGTTCTTACGTGGTTTTCCAGATGTAGTGACGACAACATTAAAGTTTAAAGAAGAAAATTCTAACATTTAAACCGACTAAACAATAACATAGTAAACTTGCATAATTAAACAGCAACTAAAAATAATAGGTTTTACTAAATCTTTTCCTGTGCAATTATTACTAGCATTGGAGACAAGGATAATAGTTTGTTTGAAAGAGAAAAGAACAGGCTTTGAAGTAAGCCTAAAAGCGTTTAACTAGAAATAGTATTTCGAAAGTTATTAAGCACAAAAGATGAATTGCGTTTATTTTGATACACCCTGTATATATATATATATATATATATATATATATATATATATGTGTGTTGAAAGTTGGCGTTTCATCATTAGTATGATGATTCATCATTAGATGATTCATTATTAGAAGATTCCAATATAGCAAGATATTCCAATATAGCAAGATTCCATCATTAGTTTGTTTGTAGAAGATTCAATATAGCAAATTTATT